CCCCGATGCCGGTGACCACTGCCACAACCCGGAAGGTGTGCGTGGTTCGTACGCCTCTTCTTGGTTGGTGTGGAATTAGGGCTTTTTGCACTTCCAGTGCTCCGCCAACCCGGTCGGCAGCTTTTCGTCCACTTACTTTGGTGGGAAATCATCTCCGCCACGAGAAGGCAGTGAGTAAGGCTTCCTCAGCAGACGCTATGTGAGACCCATGGTCGTATGGGAACAGTTCGCGAGGTGCAAGGGAAGGGTGATCAGCCGCAAGCCGAGACCGACACCCCTCCGACCATACTGAGGATTTACTAATTATCCATGAATCCCATCACATGAATTTGTAAAGAACTATCCGTTTGGTTTGGTGAGTCTTACGGAAGCTTGCCGCAACGGAAATCAGATTGACCTGGACGAACTCAATAAGATCATGTATAAGTCCTAGGAATGAGTTAGCTAAAAAGCTAACACTGGCATTACAAGATATGCTCATTATGACGTGAGAACACGCGACAAGAGGCGAGCAACTGTTTTATTACTTCATCTTCTAGCCTGTGCAGTACATGTAAGGAAAGAGAATGGTAAAACGGGTGAAATTTCAGTGGCTTAAAGGTTGCAGTGATCGGTTGCACTACAGTCGGGTGGTTGTCCTATACCCCTATACCTTTTTAACATCCTCATAGAGAATGGTTTGTCTGACCACAGTTTGCGTCTTCACTCCGGGATCGTGATGACCAGCTAGAAGTAAAGTGAAAGCATTGATTGACCACAAGGAGAGGGGAAGCTAGAGAAGCCAAATAGTGGAGGCTCGAACAACTGTGTAACTGTATTCTGATTTTATCTCTCTCTCTCACACACACACAAATCGATTCGCGTTATTATTCATTAGCCTGAACCGATTCAAATTGAACCTAACAACAGTGTATCACGTGAGGGTTTGAAGAGTGACGATAGAGTACACTGAAGTGCCACTCATCTCCCGTCAAACCCTGCAAGCTGTTGCCACTGGTAACGGAGATCACAAACTGTTTGATGAGCGACTAGGAACGCGAGCGAGTTCGCAGATCGACATAATTTCAAGGCTTGGCATTCTACACGACGGATTGTGAATTGGAGGTCAACTGAGTAGGCAAACCGTGGTTGACAAGAACGGTGAAATTTCTTTTCGTACACTGAACAAATTGTTGAAAGAGCAACTAAGTGAACACCCAATTTTCATTCTTCCGGTTTTAGTTTGTTATTCGGTGCAACTACACAAGATCTATCATTTTCCATCCAAACAAGTGTCATGCGCGATGTCCAACTAATCGAAATGACTTTCTTAGGCGTTCTATCTCCACTGTGCATATAAACGCTAGCAGTGAATTAATTGCTATCACTCCGGGGGCTACTGGATATCAGTTGAGCATCGCAACCCGTCCCCCCCTCTGCGAAAGGAACTGATTTGCTTGATCCAGATGAAATACACAACCAATTTGGATGCAAATCAGACGAAATTGCATACAAAATAAACCTCGGAACTTCTGGATCTTGGACAACAGGTTGAGTAGCCCAGTGCACACGCGGTGCGATTTTGAATGAGGTCTAAACCC